TCGAGTCGATTTTGCCTGCCCCATCTGCGGCAAGACCCACAAGCTGTCGTCCAACCAGTTCCACATTGAATCCATCCGCGTGCCTTCCGGCGATGGTGCTGATCGATACCAGAGCCAGATTGTCGTCCCCGTCTGCCCCGGATGCGGAACCCAGAACCTCCGCCAATTCTGCTCTTCCGCTTGAAGGAAAAAAAATGTCTGTGTAAAGTAATAGCCATCCCTCCGAACGTCATCGCGCTATCATGAGTTCTGCCTTGATGTACATTTTCATTATCGCTACCATCGCGGGTGTCCTGTTCTACCAGTCTTATGCCCAGCAGGCGGCCACCACAACCGAAACGTTCTCGCCGCTGGCAGCGTGGGCTCCAGCGGCGCCTGCCCCGGATGCCTCTGGTCCGGATGCGGCCACCATTCCTTCCATCGACCAAGTCCAATCTCAGGGCCTCCAAACCGGCGTCTCTACCGCTCTACTCGACCACCCCGACGACCCAGCCTTCCAGCAGAACTTTTTGTTCAACCAGTTCTCGTCCGGCATCACTCTCAGCCAGCCCAAGAAGTGGAACAACAATGACATTCGCGGCTCGCTTCCCCCGCCCCAGAATGTCGTCAGCCCGTGGCTCCAAAGTACTACCGAACCCGATATGCTCAGGAAGCGCCTTGAGGTGGTTTAGCAACTTTTTTTTCTCGCCTATTCGGTAGCTAACCAACCATGTCTCAGAGCCGATTCAGCAAGCTGTATGCCCATGATCCCTACTCGATCGTCTACCAGACCGTGGACGTCCCTGTCCGTGATTTGATTGCACCCAAGGTCTTTACTCCCGTCTCTGGCTCGACCGTCCAGCTTACCAATGCTCGCGCACTGGTCACTCCCTCTGGCACCTTGGCCGCTCTCACCATCGCCCTTCCCCAGTACCCTGTCGATGGCCAGATTCAGAACGTCACTATCACCCAGTCGATCACTGCCCTGAGCATCACCGGTGGTTCGCTTGCTGCCGGCTCGGCCCCTACCGCCATCGACACCACCAACGGTGCGGTCACTCTGCATCTGATTTTCTCTGCTCAGCTTAACAAATGGGTCAAGATCTGAGCGAAACCGATTCCCAACACACTTCTACCCCCGCGGCGGCTGACTTGGTTCACACCGCCGCCAAACACGCACTGCAGCATTTTCGCAGTTTCGCTCACGACTTGCTCGAAACTGTAGACCAACTGCCCGAAAATACCCGTTGGAATCTGCTCTGGACCAGTCGCCCGGTCCTGCTCTTCATGCTCTATGTTTTCATCTCTCTGTCTTTTTTTCTCATCCTCTAGTCAGCAATACAGTTACCCATCCACCAAATGGCCACCATCCTTCAGTCCGCTGACCGTCTCATCAACCAGAGTCTCGCCGTGCTCGATAACAAATGGGTTAGCGGTTTCTTGCGTCTCTTCCTGTTCCTGTACGGCGGCTTTGCCGCTCCCAAACTCACCGCCAGCGCCACTGTCGTCTTCGAGAACCCCATCTTCCGCGTCCTTGTCTTCTTCCTGATCATCATCGTGGCCAACAAGGACTTTGCCCTCTCGCTGCTGCTCACCTTTGTCTTCTTCACCAGCACTTGGTACATTGAGAACAAGCTGAATGCTTCCGGGTCTACGAGCTCCAGCATCGGCACTGGCTTGAGCTCGAGCGGCCTCTTCGGCAGTAGCAGCGTCGCACCCAAATCCAGCTCGGTCGTTGCCCCGACGGCGGTTTCCGTCACAGTGCCTCCCAGATACACATCCTTCAGTCAGAACGGTGATTCAATCCCCGGCTACGACGAGAACGATGTGCCGTATGCTGCGTTCTGATCACCCAATGGAAAACCAGGCCCTCACACAACCATCCACCGCAATGACCGCACCAGTAGACTGCTGCTTCTTTGAGCTCACCCATTTCAAGCCATTCCTCCTCTATCTTGACGACACACCCCGTCTCTACGACGGCGAGACCGTCACCTTTCTCGATATCGATATCGAGAAATCACACACTCCTACGACCCGAAACCGAAACCGAGACCGGGGTGTATTCATTGTCGAGATATGGGAGACCATCAATCGCCCCAAACTGCTCGTATTCAGAGACTGCATCACCCATCCAAGCTTTGATCTCCTCGAGCGCCGCCAGCAGATCGCAGCAACGATCGCCGCCATGGATGTGCGCGAGTATCAGTGTATCGTATCCCCCCTCTTCCACTGTGCGACCAACATCCGATTCGTCCTCTGCAATGCACCAACCAACGTCAGCGGCTTTTGCATCACTCCGCGCTTTCAACGACCGGCTGGTCTGGACATGCCGCAACTGCCCGACCCACGTGTCTCCCACACCATTGAAATCGAGTTCAGTGAATGTGGCGGAGATAACCCCGAGGCCTATCGGGTTGTGCATGAGCAACGTGGATCCCGCCGGTTCTTGCGCCTTCCCGATCTGGGTGCGTGCAAGGGGGTCGCCGCGGCGTTCGAGGCAGCTTCGCCCAAGAAACGCATATATATCCAGGCCCGCTTCGATCCGGTCTGGATGTCTTGGACACCTCTGCTCATCTGAGACCTCCAAAATGGATTCCTTCGTTCACCTCACCACCGTCACCTGCCAGGACACTGCACAATCCAAGATTCGTAACATCTACCAGGTCTACATCAACGCTGCCGATCTCAGCGGACCTACACCCAAGAGTGATCTCAAGGCCCAATGGCACCAGTTCTTCAAGGTCATGACCACTTGCGTCTCCCCAGTGGAAATCGTTGCCCAGGTCACCGAGCGCACCCTCGCAGCAGCTACCCGCATCGACATCGACACTATCGACGATCAGGTTGCCGTCGCTCGAGTCCGTCTTGAGCCTGCCTTCTTTGACCAATACTTCAAGCACCTTCGTACCGAGCCCCTAGACGACAAGGAGAACACTCTCGGGTTGATCAAGGCCATGTTTTCGATCAAGGGATGGGGAGCCGCCACCAAACGCTCGGCTCAAGGTTTCAGAACGATCAAGGCACTCGAGGACAAGGGTCACATCCCCTCCATGATCGCCATGATCGAGCATTACATCGCGGCCGAGAAATACATCAATGTATTCGAGCTCAGCACCAAACTCGCAGCCAAGGGTAACATCCAGGGCCATCACTTCCTGGGCTGGACTCATTTCCATGGCAAGGGAACTCCCCAAAACTACACACTCGCAGTCAAGCATTTCAACATTGCCGTCGGGTCCAACCACCGCTGCTCCCAGAAGATCCTCGGCGACTGCCATTTTTACGGCCTCGGTGTTGTCCAGAGCTACCAAGTCGCCTTTGCCTTCTACCTCTGTGCCGGCCTCGCTGGAGATCCCGAAGCAGCCTTCCAGCTGGGTGAACTCTACAGGAACGGTCTTGGAATCGATACCGACGTCAAGAGTGCTCTCCTGTGGTACGACCTGGCCAGCAACGGTGGAAACATCGATGCCTGTCGGACCCTGGGTGAGATCTACCTCACCGGCACTATCACCCCTGCCGACGCCACCAAGGGGCTCAAGCTCTTGGAGACCGCTGCCGATGCGAGCGATCCCAAGGCGTGCTACCTGATGGGTGAAATCTATTATTATGGCCGCTACGGAGTCGACAAGGATTACGACAAGGCAGCATCCCTCTTCCACATTGCAGCCCTCTCTGGACAAGACTCGGATGCCCAGTACATTGTCGGCTACTTTCACGAAAACGGCATTGGCTCGAAAAAGGACCTTCGAAAGGCCGTCTTTTGGTACAAAAAGTCTGCCAACAACGACAACCCAAACGGCCGGTTCGGGCTCGCTCGGATGATGCTCAAGGGAGCTGGTGGCATCAAGAAGAATGTCCAGGGTGCGATCGATACCCTCGTTGCGTCGGCAGCACAAGGTCACCCTGGTGCTTCCTACGTTCTTGGCACTCTCTGGGAAACCAAGGCCATTACCGAGCCAGGCAAGGATAATTACCAAGAAGCTATACACCTCTTCACTGTCGCAGCCAACGGTGGCTATCACGAAGCTCAAGCCCGCCTTGGCAACATATACTTCCAGGGAGACCGAGTCTCCGTGGACTTTACCAAGGCATTCAAGCTTCTCTTGGCCGCAAGCGATTCGGACGAAGACAATGTCATCAAACAGACCCACAATCTCGGCGAGTGTTATCTGCATGGCTTCGGGGTCCGTCGCGATGTCCCCATGGCCATCGTTGCTTTTGAGCGCGCAGCCAACGCTGGAAACACCGAGTCCCAGTATCAGCTCGGCGTCATCCATACCCGTCCTGGGTCGTATGGATGGTATACCGACTACAATATCGCAGCCAAATGGCTCACTATGGCGAGCACCAAGAACCACGCCGAAGCCCAGTTTGAACTCGCCGAACTCCATTTCTACGGCCGAGGCATGACGGAGCCCGATACGAAAACCGCCATTGTACTCTATCAAAAGGCCGTCGATAACAACTGCGAGAAGGCTCAGTTTATTCTTGGCTTTCGTTATTCTTTTGGCGCTAATGACATTCCAAAAGACCCATCTACGGGCTTGGAGTACCTCAAGCAGGCACACGCCAGAGGTCATTCAAATGCCACTGCCGCCATTGGAATGCATCATTATTATGGTACTGCTGGCTGCACAAAGGACTGTGAGAGAGCACTTACCCTCTTCAACGACAGCGCTGCCCGCGGCTCCGCTCTCGGTCACTTTTGGGTCGGTATGTTCTTCTACGGTGGTGTTGTTGTGGATCAAAACTTTGATATCGCTTACAGCCACTTTACCAAAGCTGCTTGCATGAGATTTGCACCAGCGTTCAGAGCTATTGCACGTTATCATGAACTTGGGTTGGGTGGATTCCCAGTATGCTTGTTGAGTGCTCGAGACCGCTACCGCACGGCCGCCCGTCTAGGTGACACCGGTGGTGCTGAAAAATTCAAGGCCTTGTCTGCTCAGCTTCATGTTTGCGATTCCTTCGACCCTATCGATGAGATTGACCCATTCACTGAATAAAGGTTTGAGTCCTTACACCGACAGGACCTGTACATGATAAGTAATCGTGGCACCGGAAGGCGAGTTGACCAGTGTCTGGAATCCCAGAGTGGGCTGGCCGTTCGCAGGCCATGTAATCTCTAGCGACTCACCATTCGATCCCTTTGCACTGCTGAGTCGTTGCACGGTGCCAGAGATACCAGAGCGAGCACTCATGATGAAGGTGGCAGCCGCTCCGCTGGACACATTGTCACGGACAAGGATCATGTAGCTGCCGTGAGTGGTGGTGCCGGAGATGACCGTGGAGCTCGAGGGGGTCGTACCGTCGTCCTTCATGGCAATGTCGGAAGTGACGGGCACGGTGTTGCCGTTGATCGAGTTGATTCCAGTCACGGCACCTGATGTGGAGATGTTAACCGCTCCATTAATGGTAACTCCGGCTCCGGGGGTAAGCTCGTTGACCGCATCGGTCTGCACAGAGTCATCCGCAATCAGCTTCTTGGCATGGAAGGTGCCGCGAGAGATCAACCCGGCTTTGGAGTGGTAGGTGGGGTCGTTAGGAGTGAAACCCACTTGGAACTCGTCAGTGGTCTCGATCCAAGCGGACACGGCATAGGTCTTGTAGTAGAGGCCGTAGACTGAGGTGTTGTCGGGTTGAGTGACCCAGGCCGTTTCGACCGTGGCGATCTTGGTGGTGGCATCAAAGCCAGTGATCTGGCGGATACCACCGGCACCGGTGCCGCTCATGATCCGAATCCACCAGTTTTTGTAGTAGTCGGTGGCAGCAGTGTCAGACGCAGCGAGCGTGATAGTGGTGCTGCTGGTCGAGCCCTGGGCGGTTGCGCTAATGTCGGGAGTGGCGTTAGTGACATCACCAGCGCCAGTCTCGCTGTCCGTTTGGTATCGCTGCATGACGATACCCACATCCGAGAGCGAAGCAGGAGCGGCGTTCAAGAGAATCCAATTGTCGTTCACTGTGAGCGTCTGACTCGTAATAGTGGTCGAGGCACCAAGCACAGTGAGGTTGCCCTGGACCGTGGTGTTGCCGCTAACGTTCACGTTTCCGCCGACATTGAGGTTCTTGGTGATCTCAGCTCCTCCTGCAACCTGAAGAGCACCGCTGGTCAGATTGGTCGAGTCAGTAGTATTGGTGAGGCTGATGATACCGGCAAAGCTCGAGTTATCCCCGACACCGATGCCTCCAGAGACGACAAGCGCACCGGTCGACGGGTTAGTGGATGCCGTGGTGTTCGTGAAGCTGACGGCATTGGATGCAGTGAAGGTCGATCCAGTGAACTGCACATTTCCCCATGCATTGAGGTTGTTCAGGGTCGAGAGTCCGGTCACACCGAGCTTCTGAGTGGTGACGGTCTGGGCACACCCAATGCCACCCGCAACGATCAGCGCTCCACTCGTGGTGTTGGTCGAGTCGGTAGTGCTGTCGAGCGTGACAGTGCTGGCGACTTCGAGAGTGCTGCCCAAATACGTCGATCCACCAGCCGAAATGCCGCCAGAGACAACGAGTGCACCCGCAGTCGACGTACCGGGAGTGGTGTCGGTAATGGTCACTGTTCCGGTCGAAGTGATTTGGGTGGTGAACAGGCGGTTGATCCAGGCATCTTGCTGGACCGAGAGACCTCCGGCTGTCTTAAAACCCCCAGTGGTGTACGAAGTGGCATTGGTGGTGTCAGTGATGGAGATCACGCCGTTAAAAACCGACCCACCGTTGATCGTGAGGGCACTGACCGAGTCGGTGGTGTTGATGGTGAGCCGGCCGTTGAAGTACGAGTCATTGCCGGCATAGATACCACCAGCGACACTAAGAGCACCAGAGTTGGCAGTGGAGGTGGCCGCAGTGGTCGAGCCAATGCGGACAACGTTAGCAATAGTGAGGTCACCGAGACCATAGTCCACTGTGGACGATCCCGGCAAAATGTCTACATTACCGTTGTAGACGACGTTCAAGTAGGTTGGATCAGCTGCCATAGAAGAAAATAAGTTGGCTACTCATTGCACAAGGAATTTTTTTCATCCAGGGTCAGTTTTCCGGGTCGCTCTCCATGCGTCGATCCATTCCCACCTGCCTACTTGCCTGTCGTGTTTGTCGCCCAGACCAAGTTTGTCCCGTTGTAGATGACCAGGTTTCCGTCGTTTTGCATCGTGAGCGCCGTAACTGGTCGTCCATCGGTATGTGAGACCCACAGAGGCTTCTTGGCGCTGTCGAATACGACCAGATTGCCATCGTTTTGAAGCGTCGCTGTATATGGCCCTGTTCCCTGACCACCCGTTCCTGTCGACCATATAGCAGCACCGGTTTTGTTGTTGTATACCACAAGGTTTCCGTCCTGCTGCATGACCAAGGCGTAAGAAGAATCCGGTGAGGATAACACAGCACACGACGACATACTCGTACCTGGTGACAATGCCGAATTGGTCGATGCAGCGGCACTGAACGGCATCCCCGCAGCACTGCACTGCGAATACACCGATGCGGGAGCTGCCAGCTTGCTGATGTACAGGTTTTGATTTGCAGCCCCTGGAGTGCATGCAGCCAGATCAAGCACTGTACCATTTGTCCTGGTATTGCCTTGCAAATCAAGACACTTGGTGCTGTCGGGTCCCCATGTCCATGTCGATCCACTGCTCGTGTTGTTCGTCCATGTTTGCGACTGGTCCGTGATATCACACGTCTTGATAACAATGGCGCTGCCTGCTGCAGCACTCGTTCCACCGGTTGGAGCGAGACACTTCATGCTGGTTTGGTCAATGAGACGCTGGTTAGTGCTGTCGTATCCAAAGTTTTGTCCTGCTCCATTCGAGTAATCCCAGTAAACCACAGCCGTGCCATCGGCCGTCTGCCCACCGGATACCTCCAAACCTCGCGAGGCATTGTCGCTCGTATGGAACATACCGTATGTTGGAGCACCAAAAGTCGGCTGTGAAACGGACCCGACTGCACTTGTAGCAGGAGCGGTGCTGGTATGGGTTGGATAATACACTGCGAGCGCGTTCCGGTAGTAGCCCATACCCGCACCACCAAGAGCGATTGCGGAGCATATGCATGCGACCACGATGACAATAATGACGATCAAGATGCTCATTGTGGTGTGCTCACCAAGAGATTTGTCGTTCTGCTTTGTGGTTTCATTTTTTTTCGAGTATCGGTGCTTTCGAGTTTGCAATCATTCGATTCTACAGGGACTGGCTTCAATTGCCTACTGACCCATCGTGTCGGTCGCCCAGACAGCGGATGTCCCGTTGTAGATGACCAAGTTTCCGTCGTTTTGCATCGTGAGTGCCGTTACCGTTCGTCCATTTGTCTGCGACGACCACAGAGCAGTCTTGGTGGAGTCATACACAACCAGGTTTCCGTCGGTCTGGAACGACGCTGTGTATGGACCCTTACCTTGCCCGCTCGTACCTGACGACCATGTAGAGGCACCGGTTTTGTTGTTGTACAGCACCAGATTACCGTCTTGCTGCATAATGAATGAATGCATGGAATCGGGTGATGTCAGTACCGTACATGAGGCAATGTTTGTACCCGGAGCAATAGACGAATTGGTCGATGCGACGGCGGTCACTGGTGTGGCGGCTGCACTGCACTGAGCACTAGCGGCTGCCGGAACAAGCATCGGTCCAAAGTAGAAATTCTGGTTCGCCCCACCACTGCACGTCCAAAAATCCAGAACCGTCCCGTTGCTTCGACCGTTACCTTGCAAATCAAGACACTTGGTGCTGTCGGGTCCCCATGTCCATGTCGATCCACTGCTCGTGTTGTTCGTCCAGGTTTGCGACTGGTCCGTGATATCACACGTCTTGATGACAATGGCGCTGCCAGCAGCAGCACTCGTTCCACCGGTGGGTGCGAGACACTTCATGCTGGTTTGGTCAATGAGACGCTGGTTAGTGCTGTCGTATCCAAAGTTTTGCCCGGATCCATTCGAGTAGTCCCAGTAGACGACAGCCGTACCATCCGCCGTCTGTCCACCCCAAGTCGCAAGGCCGCGTGCGGCATTGTCGTTCGTTCGGAAAATGGTGTAAGATGACGCTCCAAACGTCGGCTGCGGGGTACTACCTGATGCCGGTGCAGTCGTGCTCGGTGTGGACGTTGTGTTGCCACTGCCTGTTCCGCTGGGTGTCCCGCTGGTCCCGCTGGTGCTGGGAGTGCTGCTACTACCAGACCCCGAGCCACTCGAGCCACTGCTTCCGGAGCCGGTACCCGTTGCGCTCGGTGAACTGCTACTGCTGCCACTGGTATTGGTGGTGTTGCTGGTGTTAGGTGAACTCGAGCTGCTACTACTCGAGTTACCGCTCGATGATGACTGCATGTAAAAGTAATAGTATAAACCAACCCCACCGCTCGCCATCACAGAGCATATACAAACGATAATGGCAATGATGATAATTACCGTAGTGTTCATCGACGAATCGTTCTGCTTTGTGGCTTCATTTTTTTCTTTGACAGGCCGATCGAGTCTGGTCGCAAAAAAATCCAGCCATTCATCAGACAAAATCACATTCAATGCCCTCTAACGACCTGTCGTACGTCGCAATCGTCGTCGTGCTGATCCTGACTCTGCTGTTTTTTGCTTCGCGCATGCCCTCGATGGAGTATCTCACTCCAGTGCCAGCGGCTCAGACTTCATCAACCATACCACGCGCATCCCTTTTGTCTTTCGCCCTGGACACGACGCTGGCTGACATCAATGCATTCTCAAACTTGGCCAATCGTTCGACGCTGTACGTTGTCGACAAGGGAACCAACGCCCTCGTGAAGCTCACCAGCGCTGATCAAAGCATGTGGGTTCGTCGATTCACCTTCCCAGGCACCGGCCTGGACTCGACCACACTCCCCAGATACGCATTCTTCTTGACGACCACAGGTGTCGACTGGCCCGAGAAGGCGACCCTGCAGCTCACTGCCAATACCAATGGGGTGGTGTCATCGTCCAGTATCGATATTCGGCAGTTCCCGGGTGTCGCTCGCCTGGTCATCCCACCACCAACGGGCAGAACAGCGGATACGACATACCTCTACAGTTTCGCCTGGCAATAGAGGGGGCGATGGATCGATGGGTTGCTGGACAGGCGCCTGGTGGTTGGGTGGTTGGCGTCTGACGCGTCCCACACTCCAGTGTGGTTGCATCCGGTTTTTTTTTCGCGTTCCGGCGTCCGGAACCCGCCTCACCGCTCCTTTTCCTTGGCGCCCGCCCTCTTCCCCCCGTCCGCCCTCCACGTCGTCCGCCACCACCATCTCCAGGAAAGTATATCGTCGCTGCCTGCAACACCACCCACACCCTCACACCCCCGCTGCTGTATGCTTCGCTTGCTCTGCTCGGACCTCTTATTGAAACGTCTGCCTCTCTGTTGTGGGATACTCTGGTGTATTGTTTGAGCATTGGGCGATCTCATCATGAGGGAGTTCGTGAATATACATGGGGAAACCTCACTGCGGGGAGGACAGACCTATCAACGGAGGGATGGATGAGCCGCAATACCACACCTTCCTTAGCTTAGAATCATATTGTTTCGATATTTGATAATCGATCTAATATTTTATGACTTCCTATTTGCTTGCTTCCGTGACCCGGCTCGAATAACAACAATGTCGGACTCAAACGCAAAGGAGCGCGAAGTGGATGAATCAGGTAAAGGAGGAATGGAGTCTCTGTTCGCTTATGCTGATGCGTGTGGCGGATGGGTTCTCTGTTCGCTTATGCTGATGCGTGTGGTGGATGGGTTCTCTGCTCGCTTATGCTGAAGCGTGTGGCGGATGGAGTCTCTGTTCGCTTATGCTGATGCATGTGGTGGATGGAGTCTCTGTTCGCTTATGCTGATGCGTGTGGTGGATGGGTTCTCTGTTCGCTTATGCCGAAGCATGTGGTGGATGGAGTCTCTGTTCGCTTATGCTGATGCATGTGGTGGATGGGTTCTCTGTTCGCTTATGCTGATGCGTGTGGTGGATGGGTTCTCTGTTCGCTTATGCCGAAGCATGTGGTGGATGGGTTCTCTGTTCGCGTATGCTGAAGCGTGTGGCGGATGGAGTCTATTCGCTTATGCCGAAGCATGTGGTGGATGGGTTCTCTGTTCGCTTATGCTGATGCGTGTGGTGGATGGAGTCTCTGTTCGCTTATGCTGATGCGTGTGGTGGATGGGTTCTCTGTTCGCTTATGCCGAAGCATGTGGTGGATGGAGTCTCTGTTCGCTTATGCTGATGCGTGTGGTGGATGGGTTCTCTGTTCGCTTATGCTGATGCGTGTGGCGGATGGAGTCTATTCGCTTATGCCGAAGCATGTGGTGGATGGAGTATCTGTTCGCGTATGCTGAAGCGTGTGGCGGATGGAGTCTATTCGCTTATGCCGAAGCATGTGGTGGATGGGTTCTCTGTTCGCTTATGCTGATGCGTGTGGTGGATGGAGTCTCTGTTCGCTTATGCTGATGCGTGTGGTGGATGGATTCTCTGTTCGCTTATGCTGATGCGTGTGGCGGATGGGTTCTCTGTTCGCTTATGCTGAAGCGTGTGGTGGATGGAGTCTCTGTTCGCTTATGCTGATGCGTGTGGTGGATGGGTTCTCTGTTCGCTTATGCTGATGCGTGTGGTGGATGGGTTCTCTGTTCGCTTATGCTGAAGCGTGTGGCGGATGGAGTCTCTGTTCGCTTATGCTGATGCGTGTGGCGGATGGGTTCTCTGTTCGCTTATGCTGATGCGTGTGGTGGATGGGTTCTCTGCTCGCTTATGCTGATGCGTGTGGCGGATGGAGTCTCTGTTCGCTTATGCTGATGCATGTGGTGGATGGGTTCTCTGTTCGCTTATGCTGATGCGTGTGGTGGATGGGTTCTCTGTTCGCTTATGCTGAAGCGTGTGGTGGATGGAGTCTCTGTTCGCTTATGCTGATGCATGTGGTGGATGGGTTCTCTGTTCGCTTATGCTGATGCGTGTGGTGGATGGGTTCTCTGTTCGCTTATGCTGATGCGTGTGGCGGATGGAGTCTCTGTTCGCTTATGCTGATGCGTGTGGTGGATGGGTTCTCTGTTCGCTTATGCCGAAGCATGTGGTGGATGGAGTATCTGTTCGCGTATGCTGAAGCGTGTGGCGGATGGAGTCTATTCGCTTATGCCGAAGCATGTGGTGGATGGGTTCTCTGTTCGCTTATGCTGATGCGTGTGGTGGATGGAGTCTCTGTTCGCTTATGCTGATGCGTGTGGTGGATGGGTTCTCTGTTCGCTTATGCCGAAGCATGTGGTGGATGGAGTCTCTGTTCGCTTATGCTGATGCGTGTGGTGGATGGGTTCTCTGTTCGCTTATGCTGATGCGTGTGGCGGATGGAGTCTATTCGCTTATGCCGAAGCATGTGGTGGATGGGTTCTCTGTTCGCGTATGCTGAAGCGTGTGGCGGATGGAGTCTATTCGCTTATGCCGAAGCATGTGGTGGATGGGTTCTCTGTTCGCTTATGCTGATGCGTGTGGTGGATGGAGTCTCTGTTCGCTTATGCTGATGCGTGTGGTGGATGGGTTCTCTGTTCGCTTATGCCGAAGCATGTGGTGGATGGAGTCTCTGTTCGCTTATGCTGATGCGTGTGGTGGATGGGTTCTCTGTTCGCTTATGCTGATGCGTGTGGTGGATGGGTTCTCTGTTCGCTTATGCTGATGCGTGTGGCTGGATGGAGTCTCTGTTCGCTTATGCTGATGCGTGTGGCTGGATGGGTTCTCTGTTCGCTTATGCCGAAGCATGTGGGTGGATGGAGTCTCTGTTTCGCTTATGCTGAGGCGTGTGGTGGATGGGTCTCTGTTCGCTTATGCTGATGCAGTGTGGTGGATGGTTCTCTGTTCGCTTATGCTGAAGCGTGTGGCGGATGGAGTCTCTGTTCGCTTATGCTGATGCGTGTGGCGGATGGGTTCTCTGTTCGCTTATGCTGATGCGTGTGGTGGATGGGTTCTCTGCTTCGCTTATGCTGAATGCGTGTGGCGGATGGAGTTCTCTGTTCGCTTATGCTGATGCATGTGGTGGATGGGTTCTCTGTTCGCTTATGCTGATGCGTGTGGTGGATGGGTTCTCTGTTCGCTTATGCTGATGCGTGTGGCGGATGGAGTCTCTGTTCGCTTATGCTGATGCGTGTGGTGGATGGTTCTCTGTTCGCTTATGCTGATGCGTGTGTGGATGGGTTCTCTGTTCGCGGATGCT